TTTCTTGAAGAGGAAAGTAAACCCAACTTAAAAGATGCTTGTTAACTACTGAATGTACTTGATAGACCTAGTCCCTGGATTCAGAATCTGATTGTCCTGGGAGCCTAACTTGGCAAGATGAAAAAAATGGACTCATGAACATGCCTACAGAAAATTAAATAGTTTTGAATTCTAATATTATATACCCATAGAAAAGGGACTAAAAGTTTGTTTTTGAGCCTAGTCCCTGTCTTGTATGAGGCGTCTTCTGCTAATTGTTTTCCCTTCCAATAGAATCTGCTTTACTTATCAAAAATAAAACATTCTATAGGAAAACATGACATTCATCATGCACATTAGCTGCTCACTTGTGTTAAAAAAAGTAAAGAGAAGAAGGAAAATGTTGGGTAGAAGTGTCCATCAAGAATCTATTGAATGTTGGAACCTGATGTGTATCTGACAGACACTTCAACCATTTAGAAGAGTGCATATAAGACCGTTGGAAAGATAATAAACAAAGAAGTTGGTTCATTTTCTTGATGTCAGAACTTTGTGTCCATGGAAAGAAGGGGATTCATGCGGAAATACCATAAATATTTCAACAATAAATATGAACTGAATATGCTGATTGATGGGATAATATGATTATTTGGTCTTGTGGTGATATTGACATTAATTTCTAATGTATCTTTCTTTCTGCCTTCTGTTTTCAATCACAGAGGTGGAGCCACAATATTCCGGTGCAAGGATAGAGGGTGAAGTTGTAACTTTGGATTTTGTTAAGAAAATGATGGATGACTTTAAGAACCAGAAGTGCTTACATAAGCGGTATGTGTATATTGAGATAATAATCGATATTTCTATAATACATCTGCTGAATATTATATACTTAGGATGAATTGGTTATTCTCTGTTGTAGATATGCATACCAGATTGTACTGCAGACAAGAGAAATGTTGCATGTTTTGCCTTCTCTAGTTGATATAACTGTCTCAGATAACAATCATTTCACTGTTTGTGGCGATGTACATGGCCAGGTAGCTATATTACCTTTTTCCTTCTTTGACACTTTGATAGTGGATAGAAGTCTGTTTTTGAATTTAGTTCTCAGATTTTTCTCATTTGCTGTCTTGTAGCCTTATTATCATATGATTGATATATTCAGAGTTTCAGACTTTTTGCCTACTGGTGTATTAACGTTGTGCAGTTTGTGCCCTAACTGATTTTGACATACAAGGCTCATTAGTTTATTCTCACTTGTTATGGATGAATTGGCTAACATATTCAGGTGGATGTCTTATGGTGCTTGTTGTTTGCTGATGACATATTATTAATTGATGAAACTAACAAATGACTAAATGCAAAATTGTTATGGACAAATACCTTAAAAAGATTGAAGTTTTAAAATAAGCAGGATTAAAGCATAATATTTGCAATGTAAGTTTAATAACAATAAAAGTGCAAATCAGGGTACACTTGCAATTGGAGACCAAGAGAACTTTTTTTTTTGAAGAGTAAAACGAAAATTCGTTATACAAAAAGGAGATACAATCCGATAGGTGACAAGACGGCACCTAACAAAAAGGAGAGATTCAATCCAAGAGAGAACTTAATGTAATCTCTTGTGTTTCCTTGGTTCAATAATCCATAACAAGGGAGAGATTGAGGAGGATGTTGTCCATGGAGTTGGAGCAGGATGGGCAAAATGGAGCGTGTTGCATCTGGAGTCTTATGTGATAACAGAATACCACTTAGGCTAAAGGGAAAATTTTATAAAACAGCAGAGTGTTGGAAAGTTAAGAAACAGAGTCTGACAATGATACCAGAAAGGCATGATATCTAAGGAAACTCATAACCAAATTAACCAATCAACCTGTACCATAAAAGTGGTAATCAATCAGTTGGTGTTCATCAAATATCACCTAGGGGGATAGATTGGTCATAGATATTGACTAAGAAACAGCATGTCCAAAAATTGTGTGAGGCAGACCTGCGAAAGTTGAAATGGTAAGTGGGAAAACTAGGAAGAGCAGGGTCAGAAATGAACTCATTTTAAGGAACTTAGGAGCAGCTCTTATAGGTGATAAAATATGGGTAAGCAAACTGAGATGGTTTGGTCATGTAGTGAGAAGATCATCTACAGCACCTGTACGAAGAAGTGATCTTTTACAAGCTGAAGGGGGGTAGAAGAGCTAGGGGCAGACCAAAAAGGGCTCATAATTTAACAATATATGGCACTGAACAGAATGGAATTGTGAAACAGGGACTGATGTACCTGACCCTATATACCAGATGATGATGAACAGATGAAGGCTCATTAATTTGTATGTGTATCATATTTGGAATCTCATGAATTTTTTGGCATTTTAATTATTTTGCTTAATGTTGTGTGACTGTGTGTGCAAATGGTGAACTGGAATTCTGAGAGCTGTAAAACTTGGTTAGCCTGGTCTGGTTGATTGTTTTATCTGGTGACATGGTTATGTTGGTCCAAGTATGTGTGTAGTGAGCAATGAAGGGAGAATGATGTCAGCCTAACTCTACAAACAGATAACAGGAAAAGTTTCAAGGAAGAATTATGGTTATGCATTTGGGAGGGGAAAAATGAAGGATAAAGGTAAAAAAATGGAAGAAAAATAATGAGGCCTTGTGGGAAAATGTAGGGGTAGGGAAAGACAAGTTAGTGTACTAGAAAAAGGGATAGGCAGAGAAGGGAGGGTAACTATATGCTGATCATAAAAATGGAGGGGGACTATAAGGGGATAGAGAGAGAGAGAGACAATTATAAAAAGGAGTTGTTTGGAGGATGTTGCTATTTTTGTGATGGCCAGTTATTATAATCATTACTCGCACTCACCATTGTAATTGTGGAAGCATCTTCAATCCTTTTCTATAGCAATCATTAGAACCATTATTACTCTGGAGGATTTTCACACTGATCATGTTAAAACTTCAAGAGGGATTATTATTGACTCGATTATTGGACAAATGGATCATAATGATTCGATTGTCAAGCAGTTTTGTTGCCATGTGTAGCACATAGCTACAATTTCATTATCCATATTCAATGGGCATCAGAATTTGGAATTGACATTAAGTTATTGTGTTTACCAATAATTATGGCGCATGTCTTTTTCTTCATATTTTTTTCTGGAGTTTTAACTCTCCTTTTCTTAAACTTGCAGTTCTATGATTTGTTGAATATATTTGAGCTCAATGGACTTCCCTCAGATGAGAATCCATATTTGTTCAATGGTGATTTTGTTGATAGAGGATCCTTTTCACTTGAAGTTATTCTCACTCTATTTGCATTCAAGTGTATGTCGCCAACAGGTAAGCCTCCTGTGCTTTGTGTGCTAAAATGCTCAAAATTCTCAGCTTTTAATTTGTTAATGATTCTTTGGTTTAACAACCTTACTTATTGGGAGAATACAATAAGACAAATATAGACATGAAAACTATGCATTACTGGAGAGAGTTGAAAGAAAGGAGTGTACAAGCACCAATTCTCTGTAAATATCGGACACCAAAAGACCTGTAGGGAGACATCCAAAAGCCAAAGTACAACAGAACCCAAAAAGCATTAAGCAAATCCCAGATGAGCAATTTCCCAGTTGAAAAATACTCCTTTCAACTAACACTTCTAGTAATTACTGAGCTGGAAATTTATTTGAATGAGACTTTGGGGGGGGGGGGTTGTACTCCAACTCTGCTGAATGTAAGATTAGGAGCAACCAACCACCCAATGACCTTGTGCAACCACCCCCTTAATTTTATGGAAGAGGATTCTTCTCTGTGTGTGTGGGGGGGGKGGGGGGTGCAAACCATGGATTAACTCATCTTTTTAACTTTCATCTTTGTCCTTCCTTAGCAATGATAAGCTCTTTACTGGAATCTTGCCTGAACTCTAATTACATGCCAGTGAAAGTACTTACCTGCATACTTGGCATCATAATGTTTTAATATGAGGAGACCTACAATTTAACAGAAGCTATGGCCCTTGGTGGAGTGGAATCACAAAATAGGATGTATTAAAATGGCCTCAAGTATTTGGTATAAGGATGAGCTGAGAGGTTGATGCTTCCATTTTCACATGTTCCATGATGACAAATCAGATTTTCTTTGCAAGCTCTAGGCATTTTAATGTTGTATATTTGCCATCATATATGTTGTTTGCACTGATCTTTTCCATGTCTTGCATTTAATGCTTATACTCGTGATGTTTGTTTTAAAGATAAGAAAGGCCTTTCTATATTTTCTTTGTACAACATGCATTAACTGTGTTTTCATATGCCATTTTGGTGTTTGAACTTGTTTATAGGTGCTATATGCCTGTAATCTAGTAATTTTGAACTTCATCAGGTTTCATTCTTTTAACCATTTTTTGAAATATTTCAGCTATTTATTTAGCAAGAGGAAATCATGAGAGTAAGAGCATGAACAAGATATATGGTTTTGAAGGAGAGGTCAAGTCAAAGTTGAGTGAAACATTTGTTGAAATCTTTGCCGAAGTATTTTGTTGTTTGCCTTTAGCACATGTTATAAATGGGAAGGTCTTTGTAGTTCATGGAGGTCTTTTCAGTGTTGATGGTGTAAAGCTTTCTGACATTAGAGCAATTGATCGGTTTTGTGAGCCCCCAGAAGAAGGTAAACTTCACAAGTCCTTTGTATTTCTTTTCTGCTTTACTGAAACTTGCTTTTCTGTTGTGCCTGGACTATATATAGTTATATACACACATGTATGTAATATAACATAATTTCTGAGGGCGGTCGCTTTGTTCTAAAATGCCAAAGGTTAGCCAGCATTGGGTTATGGCCTTTATATAATATAACATAACATAACACATGTATTTCTCAATTTCTGATGATCCAAAAACTGCATTCCTCAGTTTCTTCTTCAACTGCCATAAATTAATTGTTATTTTTTCCCTTCTCTATCTGTGTTATGCTGGGATTGACTGGTATAATCTGACATCAAACCTGAATAAATGCAACTTAAAAAAGGCAGAAAGTGCACATATTTTATTGATAAAAAAAAGAAAGTGCACATATTTGTAATAAAGAATTAAAAATTATTTTGCTATGTTGTATATAATTTAGGTAAGCACATTTGTCCATTGGCTGTGATGATGTTAAAGGATTAGTTGGTGACTCTATGGTTAGTACCATTTAAGTGTACCTGCAGACAAATTAAGGGACTGAGTGAGATATTAGTCTCTCACGCCTTTTAGTTGTTTCCTTCTTATGGTAGGAGGTCAAGTGAAATGCCAGAGTCAGGAAGTTGGCAGAGGAAGAGGGAGGTAAAGATGGTAGAGGACATGTGTAAGGAGTGGCAAGGTGGTGAGCATATGTAAGTTGGATGTGGACAGAAGGAAAGAAGCCATGGAAGAAATATTCTCCATAGTCTTAACTCATGTTGGAGAGTATTTATAATTCTGAGAAGTTAAAGTTGCAATGAATTCATCAAAAAAAAGTTGAAGTTGCAACGTTATCACTATTCTTTTTTGTCCTATTTTTCAAGGGTCAAAACTAGTTCATTTATTATAATTTTTGTGCCATTAGAAGGTTATTATTCGGTTATCTATCCCACAAAACCAAGATCTTGTAAATCCAGCATATTTTGAGATCACAAAGAAGTACACCATGTTAAGATGGTAGTCCTGTTGCTGAAAACGTGAAAGTTCTTAGAGCTCTTCAATGTCAAATTTCATCTTGTAGGCAATACTGGTGCTTAATGTCCAGAAGCAAGAGATGGAGGTAGGACCAAGAGTTTGGAAAGGGAGCAAATCATTGGATCAGTAATTTTGAGAAGCTGTAAAGTTTTGGAGGATGTCTGGAGCATATGTGTATATGTGAATGTGTTTGTGCATTCGTATACATATGAATGCGTACTTACATATGTCTCAGAAGGGCATTAAATATAATTAGTTAGTTCAACTATTGTTTTTTATGAGATGTTATATAAATCTCTATTAAAGAATTAAAGAATTAGTTGTATTGTACACTTAGACACATATTCACATGGGAAAAGGTAAAAAGTAGATGGAGTGGTTTCAAAAGAGATAAAAAGGGGATGGTAGATAAATAGGCAAGCAATTTTATGGTGCAAGACTTACCTTGTACTAGGATTCTCAATTACTGGATTGTGGTTCACAAAACCTCTGAATTGTGTTCCAAATATGGTTCTGTTCCAGAATTGCCTGATCCACGATATGACAAATTTTCAATTTTTTGGTAATTTGAATTTTTGTAAATGGGGTTCTTTGAAATAGTTGGGATTGAGCTATCTGCACTGTCTTTTGATATGGTGGGGAAGGTGGTGATTCTTTTTTCTTCTTTTTTTTAACCCATGGGCATTTTCCGTTTTCCCCACATGTGATCATATCATACAATCCAATCTATTTGAGATTTTGTTCTTGATAAAAAGAAGAATAGGAAAGCATCTTGTTTAATTATTCACTTATTAAAGTCCACAATAAAAATGATTTGAATTATAGGTATAAGCAAGGTGCCAACCGGCTGGTTGGTAAGGTCCCCTGCTGGTTGTAGTGGAGACTTGGGATCGAATCCCGCCTGCACCTGGGTTGGGGGGGGGGGTTATGGTTTGGGGGATGGACTTTCAAAAGATATAAAAAAAGCACAAGTATGATGTACAAAATGTACATCAGACAATAAATGGTAGTTCATCACAAATCTGTGGAAATTGTACTGTTATAGAAACTCTATAAAAGTAGGGAAGGCCTACCATACATCTTGATTCTGAAAACCCTGGACTTTGCCTAGTTATTACCTATTCTTTCCCTTCCTTGGGAAATATGCTTTGTTCCCCAAACTCCATTCCGCCCTTTTTCCAGATGCCTTTTGTTTCTGTTTTCAAGGAGGTAAAGCAGGGCGTCATTGAACAATGAACCTTCAGAATGCATAAACTTGGGTATTCTTCAACAATTTTTTTTTGGTATATATGTTTCACGTTTCCTTACTTTTTATTTTTCCTTTTTGTCAGGATTGATGTGTGAACTGCTTTGGAGTGATCCCCAACCTTACCCTGGAAGAGGCCCCAGCAAGCGAGGCGTAGGACTTTCTTTTGGTGTAGATGTTACTAAGAGATTTTTACAGGAAAATAATTTAGGTAATTTGGTATCCTATTGTTCTTTGCTTTAGTAGATTCTTCACTCCCCCCCCCAAGGAAAAATAACTCACACATGTGCATGACTGGTTTTTCAGATTTAGTTGTTCGATCACATGAAGTGAAGGATGAAGGATATGAGATTGAGCATGATGGTAAACTGATTACTGTGTTTTCAGCTCCAAACTATTGTGATCAGGTAATAAAAAGTATTGCTTTCATCTCTCTGGCTTTTCATTTTTGACAGTTATAACAATTTCCTGTCAAATGTTCTTCAGTAATTTTTCCTCCAATAGCATTATGTGGAAAATTTGAGCCATCAGAGTATCTATTTTTGAGACCCTCAAAATTATCATGAGGAAAGGTTTAACCATAACATGGTTTATATTGATCTTTCAAAATCCCTGCTCTTGTGCATTTTGTATTCCACCTGGTTTATGAATTGGGGTTTCTTTTGCTCAAGTAATTGTGATGAGAAATTTCAGGGTGGTTTCATCTTCTTTATGAGTTATGGCAATTACATGATGGGCATGCATGAGAACATGTCTTCTTTGATTACCAATTCACCAATGTAGCTCTGGTTATCAGTTTGAGGACCACATTCTTTTGCATACAGCATGCTTGCTTGTTTAAACCGGTTTTTTCCCTTTCTTCATTGAACAAACACCTTTACAAATTACAACACAGGAATCATATGCACATCTTTATGTACCCTCTGATTTGTTGGTATGCACTTAATAATCAACTTTTTAATGAAGCACACTCTCTAGGGATAAGCTTTTATTTTTCTTTTCTTTTCTTTTCTTTTTTTGATTAATGACTGAAATTAAGCAAAATCTAGAAGAAAAGAGGAAACTATGTTCACTGATTTGGTTCCTTATGATCTGTTAATTTTCCTTTCCTAGTGCAAGAATTTTTCATCTATTTGTTTTACAAAATAAAATAGTTTGTAGCGCAAAACAAGAATATGTTGTTTGATGGTATATAGATTGTTCAAGTAGGTATTGCACATTATGGTAGTTTTCATTATAGTTCTCTTCTTTCTATTGGTCCCTTTCTTTTTTGGTTAAGATTAGATTGACGATTGATTGGGCCAAACTTGTAGGATAAACCAAGGAATCCTTTTAGTTTTTTTAAGTTGTATGTTATTCATTTGTTTTTTCCCCTACAGCATAACCTACACAAGCAATACATTTTTAAATCCATTAATGCTTTTATTTTTTGTATTTTCGTTTTTGAAAAAGCGATTGGCAATTTCCCCTTAGAACTAATTTGAACTGATTCAGAGTTCATCCGATGATTGTTATCTTGTTGTTGTGTACATTACCTTGTTTGTGATGCCCAAACATTTTCTAAAAATCCATGCATACTCTAAGCATTGAAGGAGTTGAAGAATCCAGTTTCTATGTTCCATGCTGCATTGTTGCCAATAGTTGGATTTAAAAATGTCTATTGCTTTTGACATTTTAGCTATTCCTTGAGAATGGTTTCTTTCTAGGATTGAGATATATTCATGATTGCATGATGCAGATGGGGAACAAGGGTGCTTTCATACGGTTCCAAGCTCCTGATATGAAACCGAACATTGTTACTTTTTCAGCAGTTGTGAGTAAACAGTTTTTTTCCCCCTTTATCATCTCATTCTGTTAAAATTATTTAATTTTTACCATTTTCTGAAAGTAGGGTCTATACTTGTTAAGGTTTCTAATAATTTTTGTTTGATCAATGTGCAGCCACACCCTGATGTGAAGCCGATGGCATATGCCAATAACTTCCTTAGGTTGTTCTCTTGATTTATTTGCCTGCTGACCGTCCCTCCTTTTGTTAGATTTTGGCATAAATTTCAATCTAGGCGATGAAATACTGGGAATACACCAAGTGCACGTTACTGTTGGACTGACCTGATAAACTGGTTACAAAACAGAGAGGTCCAGTTTTTGTGTCATGGAAGGAAAATATTTAAAGATGCATCATTTTTTTCTCCTCCCTAGTTTCAGTTGTGATTTACCAAAAGGAACTTATCCCCCTTGTTCCAGGTGAAGATACTGGTAAAAGGAGGCCGTGTAAATTATATGATTCTTTATTGGCTACTATTTTTTGCTTGATTTTGCTATTCACTGTTCATATTTTTGTTTCTTTTGTTTCGGTGCTCGATTGTTCATAGTTAACATGCATAATGCCATGCTTTATTAACTTTTTTTTTTTTTGTTTTACTGCTATATTCTATCTAATGACCATAGTACAAAACTTGATTTAAATGAGAGAAATGTATGAATATGCAAGGAAAAGATGAAGATTGTGCCTTTATAGAAGAGAGAGACCGAGTTAGGATCTGGCCTTCTGCTGCCCATAAATATGCTACCCACTTATACCCACAAGACACGACAGCCGCAAATCAGGATTTCCAATGAATGACGAGTCCAGATATGCTCCCCACACCAATCTCAAAACACGTCCCAGCCGTACGTTGGGAACATCTCCTGTACTTGTGCATTATTTATTCACGGGGAGATGCTCCTAATACATGGTGGGATGTGCTGTGACGTCAGTGAGGTAAGCAAATTTTGATTCATAAATGACAATTGAGATATTCTGTGGCTGGGACCATCTTATGTATTACTTAAAAGTTAAAAGTTAAAAGCAAACGTCTGTGCATACTCTGATTGAACTTGATCATTATAATGGGTCAGGTTTCTCTTATTCTCTGATTTCAACTTAGAAACTGACCAATAATAACTTCTAACTGCTTTTTAAAACTATGGGCCTGTTTGATTTGCAGGAATAGGGGTCAAATTGGAATTGGATTTCAACTGTTTGGTTAGTCTAAATGGGAATTCCATTCCCATTTGAGGGAATGGCTATTCCCTCCTCTTCCCTTGGGAATGAAATTCCATTTCAGGTTATTTCAATTCCGGTTCATGTCTGAACCAAATAGACTGGGAATAAACCCATTCTAATTTCAATTCCAAAATTAAAATTTTAATTTTGATTCTGAATGAACCAAATTGACCCTAATAAAAATCCATAACTTGCCCCTAACCCATAAAAACTGGAATGTACTCTAAAAATTAGTCCTTACCATAAATATATACAGTATTTGTATTTGTATTACTTCCAAACTGAGCCTAAGTGGAATAATGGAAACATCTAAATGTGGTTGTTTTATCACTCCCTTTGAAATGAGCACGATATGGCCGAATTTAACCATTTAATGTTACTACAGCCGGACAGAGCATTTCATTCACCCATCTTGCCTTTCTTGGGTGCAAAGAGACGTGTTCGCAAGTTTTTGGCAAGGTTCTAAATATCAACATGGATCGGCCTGTATTGGTGCTTTTTTTATATGTTTTACTCTTTTTTGAAACCAGTTCAAAGGGGTTGGTTTAAGGCCCTACTACCCTTTGACTCAGTGGCTGGCCCAATACAACCCGTGTAGGGGCGTGTTGAAAAGCCACCGGCACGATACGTCTCTGCTTGAGTTTTTATTTCTTAAGGTGCTCTTATGTTATAAGAAATGGCTTTGTACTTGGTGAATAGATGGTATCGCTGGAGTTCCCGCTTCCCGGTTTAGATTTAGATTGGAAGTCTTTAACAGATTTATAATTCCGGCTGGTTTTTGGATGGTAGAATTGATATTAACCATGGTCTTTTGTCTGTCAAATCCAATAAAGTTTTGAAAAGATCTCCACCATATTTTTTACGAGGCACCAATCTCCATGGCACCAGCACCTGAAAAACTTTAACCAATCAGTACACGTTCCCTGTGATGGATCATGGATCCCTGAAGTTTGGAATCATCAAAAAGAAGGATAATGCTAACATAAGAAGTCATGAAATTAAATTTATGAAAATTAATTTCTCATGGAAATAAAAAAGCATAAGGAATTTCTCAAATCACTTCTCATAAATCATATAGGTCATACTTGTCAAAAATCATTGCCTAAGCCTAACTGGTCCACCTAGGCGCCTGCCCAATCTCTAACCAGGTGACAAGACGGTACCCCATCACTTGGTTGTGCACAATTTCTTTGCATCCTGATTACTATGTTTCCCAGTTCATTTTTATTGGGTTTGGACAGTTTGTTATTGACTACAAGTTATGGTCATCCACTTCCATCATAGCACGGTTGATCACTGAATCCATGGCAAATTACATAATACCTTGCATGTATGTTACAGTTTGCATAAAGAGCATCATGTGCAGATCTTTTATTAGACATCCACAGGAAAAAAGGGACTAACTGAGACTGCATTCAGCAACCTTCACCCAGGATTTAAGGGTTTTGTCTTCAGTGTCTGTTTTGTATAATGCAAGGCAAGAGATCTGGAAGCTTAGGGTGTTGACGTCCTCATCAAGAAGTGTAGCTTTCTCTTGAGCACTTTTCTTCTCATCATCAGTTAAATCCCCATAAAGAAGACTCAAATGCGGCATATAAGCTAAGTCAAATCAGAAATATTGCAAAAATATTTGTTAGGCAAAAATATAGTGACAAAAGGTAACAGAATGTATATGTTTTGTATATTAGATGCTGGTGAAGAAGATGCATAGATGTATATGTTTTGTATAAACAAGGAATCTTTATAAACAGTAGAGTTAAATTCTAATTTGCTTGTGCTCCAGAACTTTAAAACGAGTTTTCCTATTATAAAGAGAGCAGGGTAATGCAAGTTGGGTCCAGGGCCCTTCAAATTTTATGTTTTTTAAGTAATACTCAACCAAAGCCCACCCAATTTGCACCCGAATTTTATTTTGCTCTTTGAAAGGACTCAAATTGGAGCACAATTTGCATCAACCTGTATTCAAATGGATTACTTCTGCTCAACTTCAGGCCAGTTTGGATTGGGTTTTTCCTTGTCATCAGGTGGTTGAAAGTATTTAAAACCCGACCTAACTATGAACCAGACAACCAGGGCCAACTAAAAAACAACCATATGCATTTGTATAAAGAAAATTTGTGGACAGCCAACAGCAGTAATATGAAAAGGTAGATTAGTGCCAAGTCTTGTATTAAATGATAAAAGGTTATGGCACAAGTAACTCATATGTGGAATGGAAGTTGATCTTAGTGTAACATGTACAAGACCAGAAAAGATGAAAGAAGACAAATGGTAAAGCAAACAGGGGGGCATATAAAGACAATTTGGACACATGCACAGCTGGAATCCTTTGTCTCACTCTGAACTCCACTGCTTTATGTTTAATAGAATACTATCTTTACTGATCCAAATTGTACAGTTGTAAAAACTACCCTTATTTTTCACATCCTAATTCACTTCATTAGTGTGTCATAAAAAAATAAAGGTAAGGGGTGTCAGTTATGGCCAATGCACTTTAAAGCTAACCTAGATAACTTGGGACTCTTTCATCAACTTCAAATCCTTAATAGTCTTTTATTTTCTTAGAAACTGGATAAAAGTATGCATTTCCATACCAAAGTTCTCAATTTTAAGAGTTCCATAGCGTTGAGACAAGGAGACCCATTGTCTCCCTTGCTCTTTCTAATTGTGATGGAAGGTCTCACCGTCTCAGTAAATTAGTTGGCAGGGCCTCAGAACTGGATCTCTTGGAGGGTTTTGAAGCAAGTTCTAATGGGACAAAAATTCCCATTTTGCAATATGCTGATGATACCCTCCTTTTCTGCAATGTATCAGAAGACTAAATCCTAAACCTGAAATATCTACTTTTCTGGTTTGAGATTGTATCAGGGTTGAAGGTGAATTTAACAAAAAGTGAATTGTTAGCTGTGGGGGAGGTAACTAGTATCCAAAGCCTGGCTGATCTATTGGGCTGCAAAGTGGGTTGGCTGCCTTCAAATTATTTGTGTCTGCCCCTTGGCGCCAAATGCACCTCTAAAGCTATTTGGGGTCCAGTCTTAAAAAGGATAGACCAAAAATTGGAAACTTGGAATACAAGATACCTCTCTAAAGGTGGCAAGGTCACACTAATCAAAAGTGTGCTAGCTAGTCTTCCAACTTATTTTATGGCCCTATTTCCTATTCCTTCAGAGATTGCAAAGGAAATGGAAGAAAAAATGAGAAATTTTCTTTGGAAAAGCTGGAAAGACTCCCATAAGTACCATCTGGTGAGCTGGGAGCAAATCTGCAAGCCCCAGTCACAGGGTGGGCTGGGAAGGTTATAGAGGAGAAATATGGCTTAAGGAATAATGGGTGGAATGCTGGATTACCCTCCTTGACTTATGGATGTGGGTGTGGAAAGGAATTTGTAAGGTATCCAGGCAGTTCAAGACTTGTATCAGATTTAAAGTGGGAGATGGAAGAAAAATCAGATTCTGGTTAGACCACTGGACCAGTGACAGCACTCTAAAAGGGTTGTTCCCTGCCTTGTACAATGTGGCTTCAGATAAAGAGACCTTAGTGGCTTATTCTTTCATGATACATGAAAGTAGACTATGCTGGGCTCCTTCCTTCAGGAGGAGTTTTAATGACTGGGAGATTCAACAGGGGTGCAGATTTTCTTGCTCTGTTACAAAACCAGCAGCTAAATCTTCATTTGCAAGATTCAAGAGTTTGGAAGTGGACCAAGTCTAGTGAATTCACAGTTAAATCCTTCTACAATTTTCTAGTTGGGAAGACCAAAGTCCCTTTTCCCAGTCAAGCCATTTGGGGGATTTTGGCTCCTTCAAAAGTCGAGTTTTTTTGTTTGAGTGACAGGTTTGGAGAGGTGCTTGTCCAAAGCAGTGTTTTAAAAGGCGTGGGAGGTGTATGCTTGGAGGCACGCTTCTAGGCGAGGCACTCCCAAAACGCCTTGAGGCATATACCGGAGGCGCTGACCTCTGAGGTGTACGCCTCATGCACACATCATATAAAAAGACTGAATAAAAAAGAAAAAAGAAAAAAAGGAAAGGAAAGAAAAGAAAAGAAAGGGAAGGGAAGGGAAAGAAAAAGAAAGAGAAGAAAAAAAAGAGAGAAAAGGGAAGGGAAGAGAAGATAAGGGGAAAGAAAGTGGTCTGCCCCTTCGGCTGGGGGGCTTTGCCTCTCAGAACCCCCCGCCCCCCTTTTTCCATGCCAGCCCAATTTGTTTTTTGTATTAGGGAA